GTGTGTGTGTGTGTGTGTGTGTGTGTGTGTGTGTGTGTGTGTGTGTGTGTGTGAAGGGGCTGAGAGAGGGTTTCTCTGGTGTAATAGCCTTGGCTGTCCTGGAGCTCACTTTAGACGACACTTGCCTTGAACACAGAGATAACTCCAGAGTGCTGGAATTAAAGGTGTGTGCCATTACACCCCACTGATTCTGTAGCTCATGCTAAGCTGAAACCTCTCTGTAGCCCAGGCTAGCCTTGAACTTGTAATGTGCCATCTGCCCTTTAAGGTGGGTCTTCTACCTCCAGTTAATATAGAAAGTCTAACAGACAAGCCCAGGGGTTGTTTCCACGAGGATTCTAAATCCTGTTGATTGACAGTCAGCTGTCCCAGTTACTGGTTCTGGGATTCTGGTCCATTTCATGGATCTCCCTCTCAGGTAGGGCCAAACTGCAGCTGTAATAGGCTTAGCACAGGTAGAGTGACAGCTCTGTTTTATTTCTTCCCTTGTAAGTTGTTTTAGGTCATTATTAGGTCTGGGTTTTTTATATGGTTGTTTGTTTGGTTGGTTGATTGGTTGGTTTTGCCGCCAAAACCCCTTTTTGGATTTTCAATGAGAATTGGATTTAGCCTATAGATCAATTTGTTCAGAAGTAACATCTTCACAATACTAGATTTACTAGTGAGTGCAGTGAGTCTCCACTGATTGAGGCTTTCCTTTATTTCTTTTATCCATATCTTATGATTGTCAGCATACAAATGCTGAAACACTTTGTTTACACCCAAAGATTTCATTTTCTTTTTGTGGTCATAAATGGCATTTTTACTCAATATCCATGTGTTCATTGATAGTATAAAGAAATACGATTTGATTTTGCAACTATCTTCTATGCTATAGCTTAAATGGGGTTTTTTGGAGTATTTTTTTTTTAGATTACATGGGATTTTCTGCATAGACAATTATGTCTTGCCATCTGTCAATAAAGAATATCTTCCTTTCTGCTTGCTTTTTTCTTGCTTTATTAAAGTGGTTAGAATTTCTAGTAGTGTGCTATGGTTTTGAGAGCAACCATTTGCTCTTTCATTGCTAAGGACGATAATAGCAATCACTTTTAAATGTACTTTTTAGCACATTGAGGAAGCTTTCCTGTATTTGTACACTGAAAATTCTTTTTTTTAAAATAAATTCCTTTTTCTTTATTTTTGTGCATTAGTGCTTCGTCTGCATGTATGTCTGTGTGAGGGTGTCAGATGTTGGAATTACAAACAGAATTGAACCTGGGTCCTCTGGAAGAACAGTCAGTGCTCTTAACCGCTGAGCCATCCCCATATGCTGAAAATTCTTAAGGATGAAGAGTGTCTTTTGTGGCATGCTTTGCCTGCCCCTTCCCCCCCTTCCGTTCTTTCATTCTTGTTGATGTTCTTTTATGCGCCTGCCTGCAGATATTTATGTGCAGTGCGTGCCTGCCTGTTGGAGCCTCCGGAACTGGAGCTACAGATAGTTGTGAACCACCATGGGGGTGCTGGGAATTGAGTCCAGTGCAAGAGCAATAGTGTTCTTAACCTCTGCACCATCTCTGCAGCCCTTTCTTTCTTTAGAGTCTTATTCTGTAATCCTGGCTGGCCCAGAGCTCACTATGTAGCCTAACTCAGGACAGCCCTCCTGTCTTACGCTCCCAGTTCAAGGCTTCTAAGCATCAACCACTGCTCCCAACTCAATTGCTTCGTATAAGTACTATTAAGATCGTATGAATCTCTTAATTTAGCTTGTTGATACATAGATACATCAGTATTCAGCCTCCTTCCATACCCAAAGTGGCTCTCGCTTGATCACTGTGTATAATTTTGCTTTTTTAAAATGCTTTTTGGTGTTGCTTGTTGAGTGTTCTTTAATTTGTCCTCATGGGATATTAGTCTGTAGTATTCTGGGACTTGGGGTTCTGTTTGTTTGGTTTCTTTTTGATTGAGGAGTCAAGGCACTACTGTCCTCATGAGTTGGAAACTCTTCTTTTTTTATAAAGGAAATTGTACCAAAATGCCTTCTGATTTGTCTTAAACTGTTAGGATTTTCTAAGAAAACATATTTGGTAATGGGATATCCTTTGAATTACAAATCCACCTTCTTTAATGGTCATAGGTGCCATCTTGACAGAGTTCAGTGTTGGTCATTTGTGCTCTTCAAGACAATGACCTTCTAGGTTGACAAGTTTATGTATTCAAAAATGTTCATAGTGTCCCTGATGCCTTTTTAGTAGCCATGAGATCTATAGTTACAGTCCTCATTTCAATTCCAGAAGAAATTGTGACGCTCTGTTCGTCTTGTTAAAGGCATCAAATTATTGACCATCTTCATCTAAGAGATTTTTTTTTAATCTCATTGGTTTTTTTTGTTTTTGTTTTTTTTTTTTTTTAGTCTTCTTTGCTTCTCCTCTGTGACAGTCCCATCTCCCTAAACCTTACTGCCTCTAAAGTCTAAAGAGAGTCCTGGCTTCTTTTCTTATCATCCCAGAGACTCCAGGCTTATTGAGTCAGGGCATCTCAATCCATTCCCAGGTGCTCTAGTAACACATTAAACACCGAGGCCTAGGTAAAGTGCCCTTACTGGCCTAGTACAACCTTCTGCTTGGTTTCTTTGGCTTACATGCTCCAGCTTCCGGCGGGTGCAGTCTGGCAAGACTGCTTCAGTGTGTGCATTAACCTCCTAGGAGCTACTCTTGTGGTGATCTTCAGGTGGTCCTGGAACTTTACTCTTTACTCCCTACATGCCGGGAGTATTGGTGATGATGGGTCCAGCCTGAATAAATGGATTAGGCACTTCCTTTTCAGACAGCCACCCTGTGTGAAGCCATTGAAACTGTTTTATGTAAAGGAACACTAATGTTCTTAGGAGGCAAACAGATTCGCTTCCAGTATGAAGAAATGTCTAGAGGCTCAAGGTTCTTCAATTGATTCTTTCCAAAGCCTCAAGTTCCTGTCCTCAGCAACCTGCACCTTTGCCTTACCTAAAGGAACTTTACAGAGTCACTTTTTTCTGGAGCTGAGCAGCGGCTGATGCACAGGTTTGACAGCTGGAGTTGGGATCCCCAGCACCTACACAAACCGTGGTTGGCACAGCAGCCTGTTTGTAATGCTGGCTCCTAGGAGTCAGAGACGGGCTCCCAGAGCCAGTGGAGCAGCCACTAGCTGAACTGGTGAGGAGAAGCCCTGCTTCAGTTATAGAAGGTACAGAGATCAAGGAAGATGCAGTGTCAGCCTCTGGTTCCGCACAGTTATGCACACAGATGCAAGCCAGACATATTCTATCAGGAACCCACACTACATACACTTACACATACAAAATATCAAGATACCTTTACCTGGTGTGTGATTTACTGTCTACCCTATGTTTGGGCTTCAACCATATCCTTCAGCTCACGAGAAAATGCTTCATTTAGGGACACCATAGAAACCCTCCCACCATGTCTTGAACTGAGAGTAGAAGACTAAGCACATCTGGGCTTTGATTAGCTTATTTGTTTGGTTGGTTTTTAATTCTCTTGAGTCAGAATTGGCCATCCCACCCCACAGACTTTGAACTCACCATGGTGCTGTAGTTACTGAATGTCCCAACCACTTGCTCTCCCAGAGCCTCGCATCCACCGTCATCCTGTCTGACATGTTGAGTGCACATGGGCAGCGCAGCAGCATCAAAGGCTTTCCAGGAGCACAGAGCACGGCAGAGACAGGAGCAAGTGCTGAATAGTCACCACAGGCAGTCCTGTGGAAACAGTAGACTCTCCCCTCACCAGAGGCTGGCTCTCTGGGTGGGGGGAGGAGGTCTCTTAAGAGCTTGCACTGCCCAGAGCACATGAGGAGCCCCAGGGAACTCACCATGCAGAGGTGCCCAAGCAGGAGTTTGAGAAAGGCTTCTCTGCTTAAAGGCCTTTAAGCAGATTCTGAAATTACTTCTGTGTGAATGTAGTAGGAGGATAAAGTCCTTCAAATGGTGGCGCTTTTTATTTTCTTTTTATGCTTTTGTTAATGTTTTGAGACAGGGTCTGCCTCTGTAGCCTGGGCTGCCCTGGAACTCCTAGCACTCCTCCTGCCTCAACCTCCTAGGTCCTGGGAATACAGATGTGAAAAACTGTACTTAGCTGTGACTTGGCTTTAGAAGGTGGAAAAGATTTTTTTCTCTTAGCCGTTAAGAGGGATGGTTGTCATCCAAACCCCACTAATGGAGGGAGCACACAGGCACACGCATGCCTTACCTGCTGCCTGGACTCGGCTTGAAAAAGTTTCCACAATGCGATGTGCTATTCATGCCTAGTCACTTGTTCTAACAAAGACTGTCTCAAGTGTAGAAGAACCAGACATCACTCCTGAGCTAACAGTGCTCCTCTCTCTCTCTCTCTCTCTCTCTCTCTCTCTCTCTCTCTCTCCCCCCCTCTCTCTCCACTCTGCCACCCTAGGAGGACAACTATTGGCTTCGTGGCTTACTGCTGCTCCGCCCAGTGTCTGCAGGCTTTTGACCTGCTGAGTTGATAAACACTCTACAGTCTTCAGAGCACTGCCAGCTCAACACTGCAGCTGCCTGCTGTCGCCCAGTGTGTGTGGCCGGGCCAGGAGAGTCCAGCCAGGCAGAACAGACCCTTCCATCCTGTCCTGCCCAGTCCAGCGTGGGGGTGGGGGGGCATGCTGAACTCTCTGGAACTGTCCTGATTGGCCTTCATAACTGAGAGGCCTTCACCCTTCCTTCAAGTTGGAATATATCCTCCCCCAAATTAAGGACATTTTGTCTTCTGTGTTTCTTTTTATGTGAGTGTCTCATACATAAACTATTTAGTCAGATGAGCTTCCCCACATCTAATTTAAAGCGAGTTGCAGCTCCCTGAAGAACTCTTAATTTGATAATAGAACCAAATTAACTGTTGGATGACATACCTTTGGTGATGATCCTCTGCTTTTCTCCAGAGGATTATTTCCCCTCGAGATTATTTTATTCTCCGTAGCTTCTCCATTGGAAACTTGTCGGTTTCCAGAGTCTCCTATGGCCCGTATGGCCTCAGCAGCCTGCACCACAGGGCAGGGCGCCCAGGCTGGCTCAGCGAGGCTCCGGTGGAGGCACAGCAGGCTCCAGGGCCACGCCCTCTGGAAAGTTCCTGTCTTATTTCTAAGTTTTGCAACCTACGAAGACGTTTTTTTTAAGAGGGATTTAAAAACAAAAATGTAGACACTAATTAAATACACTCTTGTTGTAAACTATTACAGGAAAACAAATTTTGAAATGTTCGGGGTCTTTTTGCTAAGATTTTCTTACATAATTGGGAAGTATGAGGCCTCTGATCCTCCGCCATGGATGGGACTTCATGTTGCTTACTCGGTGCATGGAACTGCCTTTATTTTACTTCTGAATCCCCACCAGGAAGACAGAAGGAAAGAAGGGGTCCACATTCCATCTCCAGCCCAAGCCCATGAGCTTTCCCTAGCCAGAGAGTGGCGCTCTGTGGGGGAGTCAGGTTTGATCTTCTCTTAAAAGGATGGCATTGTAATCTGCTTTGCTTCCAGATGTTCATCTGGTTGCTGTGGAGTGGTTCTTTTTTTTGGGGGGGGGCGGGGGGCAGAAGCGTTGTTTTAGTGGTATGATTTATAAGACAAGGTTAAAAGGAGAATCAGAAAGGGTTGCTTGGTGGAAAAGCTTTTTCCCCAAAATTTGGTTGATGACATTTTGTTAGCTAGCCTAACTGTAATTCTAAGCTCTAACAGTGCCAAAAAATCCTACATAGTTACTGACAAATGTGTGATCTCTTTGCAGTCACACCACCTGCTGCCCGAAAGGCAGACTCTTCAAGTAATGGCAGAGGCAGAAAGCGACCATGCATGCCGACTGTAGCATCACTGTTCCTACTTCCTCCCGTCCCTTTCATAACTTGCTCTGTTCAGCCTTAATATTTCAAAGGCCTAGAGTATAATAGGAACTGAGGGTCCGGATCAGACGGACCGCTTCTTTCATCCTTTGGAATAATGGAAGTTTCAGCATCACCCCTACATGTATATAAGTTAGAGGCAGAAAAATGGAACCTGAAACTCCACATATGTGCTTGGCTTAAGTAACTACTAGCTATCACATGTGTGATAGTAAGTACATGGCTACATGTTTGGAAGTGGAGCTAGGAAATGGGCCACCCTGATACTCAGGGATTCTCATTGAGATAGGCTTGAGATGCTTTTGTGTTAATCTGTTTAAGTTCTGAGAAAGGTGTTTACACTCCGGGCCTCCTCTCTACCTGCTAAGAACTGCAGTGTATTGAGCACGGACCAGCAGGGGGCCGGGCAGACAGCCTCTAGGCTGACAGTCGTAACTTTTGGGTCTACAGTGATGAGAAACAGAGCTTCCAAGGTGGTCCCCTGGTGCTTTCCTCATGGACACTTTGTGCTGTCCTCACCAATGTCACGTCAATCTTTTGGTTTTATAAAAAAAACAGTTGCCTGTATACTGTGTATTCCAGTTGTATCCAAAGCTTTAGGAAAAAAAACAAAAAACAAAAACAAGACTCATTTTTGTATCTTCTTTCCTCTTTCCTTCCCTCAACCCCTCCCTCTTCTTTGGGGGAGGGGGATGCCATCCAGAACACTACACATGCTAGGTAAGTACCCTACTGGCGAGCTATACTGCTAGCCCTGTATGTTGTTTTTTCTGATCAGGTAGACCGATATTTCATGTAATAATAATATTTCATATAATAATAACAACAACAATAATAAAGCAAATGAGCTGCTTGGGAAATGTGATTTGTTTAGGTAAGTTTTCATCTCAGCTCATGTGTGGTTAATTAGTGCAAAGTTAAAAGCTAGGAGAGCCTTTGAGAACCGGTCTTTCTACGATGTGTAATAGAACCAAAGTCCTTTTTAGTTGATTCCTCACTCATATTCTTCAGTATAATTGTTACCATAACAGAAAAGACCTGATTCCATTAACAAGTGAAAAATGTATCTTCAATTTACATATATGTATATATATGTACATATATATGTATATATATGTATATATATATACATGTACATATATGTATACATATACTTAATTTTTTTTTGTTTGATAGTTTCATACATTTATATAGTGACTTTTAGATGTTGGCAGCCCCAGATTCCCCTTTCTCATCTCCTTCCCTCTCTGGGTGGAGCCTTTTTTTTTTCCTCACCAAGTCCTCTTCTTCTTTCCTGTCCTTTGGGCACGGTGTACTGAGCATGACGAGGGTTTCTGGTCTGAGTGTGGGTGGGAGATCATTCACCGGAGCAAGGATAACTCATCCATGGCTACCCCGCTGTAGATGACAACACCTCCCCCTGGAACAACCTTTGACTGGAGGGTCCCTTGGGAAGGGCCTGCTTGGTCTCTCCTGCATCCATGAGGAAGCACTCAGAGTCCCAGTTGTGTAATGGCCTTGTTTTTAAGAACACGGAAGAGCTGTGATGGTCAGCCCTCTCTGCCTGAATGTGCTGCCTGTGACAGCACAGAATGATGAACTGTGCTTGTTTTCAGGTCCTCTTCTAGAAACAGCTTTTGGTCATCTCATGAACACTCAACTGTGTCACTTTTACACACAACTCACCGACTTAACACCCATCTCACATTTGTCTGACATCAAGTATTATGAGTTAAGGTGCAGTCTAAGAAAAAAATCTTCACTATCACTTTACAGAATCCATGTGTAACTTCCTTTAAAATATATATGTACTTCACAGTCCTGGGGGCTTTCAAACCAGCTTTAAGATTACTAAATTTAAATTAAAATTAAATTTCTCAAGTTGAAAACTCAGACCTTATTTTGACTATGGATAACTCAAACGTGATAAATGCTTCAGTGGAAATCAAACCATTTGATAAAGTTATGAACACAGATTACTAACACCATGTAACCTTCTGATTAGATACTGAGACGTAACACACTTTCTTTACAGCTATGTATGTACCTTTATATGACACTGAGTCATTGCATAATATTTGTGTATGTATATGTATGTGGTTTTTATTTACCTTGTTTGTCCTTGGAAACCTCTGCTGCATGTCTCCAGAAACTCTGGTCAGCTTGCCTTTTCTTCAAGCAGAGAGGATTTAACAAACCCACATCCCTGAAAATAGCTCCATGTTTAAACCCAAGTCTGACTGGCTCTATCCAGGAAGTACCTCCCAGTGATAGCAGCTAGTAGATCTAAGTGATGCAGGTATCTGTAGGAGAGGGACTGAGCTTAGCCCAGTGACTGTCATCCTCAGGAAGAGACGGTGCTTCTCAGTTGAAGATGCCCTTTGAAGCATGACTGCATGGTCCTTTGTACTTCAGAGACAGCAAAGTGCTGGCAGCCAGTGGGGAGGCAAGGCAGAGGGTGGAGCCTTTGGAAACCATTTCTACACCATACAAGGGTTACTGGGGTTTGGTTTGGTTTGGTTTGGTTTGGTTTGGTTTGGTTTGGTTTGG